CACAAGCATTGTAGAACACAAGAAGAGCTTGAGATGACCTCGGACACTACACAGGGCGCTTCATGAATCAAGGTAAAAAGCCCACTTTACCGCACTTTTAAATTGTTTTGACGGTTGTTACTTACGTATACACACAAGGCATCAAAAACGGATGTCGTTACCCTACTTTGATCGTATTAAGATATAAGTACACATAAAAAGAATCTTTATTGTCAGTAAGAAATTATGTATTTCACCTCGCATTTATTTTTATTAATCTCTTTCATTTAACTACATCTGAATGTAATTTAACAAAATCCACGAACGCTTTGCTAGTTCTTTTGTTTTAAAACAAAAAAATTCTCTAGTCTATGTTTGCATTTTTGACCGACTTCCCAAAAGAAGGAGGTACTCAATTCGTCGATATGTTTTTTTTAGATATACAGAAAAGATTTCAATGCAATAAAGTTTAAATACAATAGAAACTGTGTCATTAAATACCTCTCGTAACGAAACACGTATTGACGTGCGCAATCTCTGGGACCATAAAATAGTTTAAGATAGTTCCCACTTCAGTTTTAGTGGCATGTACCGCACTTAATTGTGACGTTAGCTTTATCTCTGAGCACTTAATGAGCGATTAATAAAACGATACAACTTAATGTCTAATTTAATATCGACTTTAGTTGTAATTAGTAAAGAAATTTGTTCTTTACTATATTCTCTATCATACTAATGTTATAAATGTGAAAGTTTAGATAGATGGATTTTTGTTAGGGTTTGTAGTCTAAACGGCTGAACGGATTTCGATGAAATTTGGTATAGATGTAGAGTATAGTCAGGAAAAACATAGGCTACGCACTTTGGTTTTTTTTAATTCCATGCGGACGGAGTCTCGGGCGAAAGCTAGTACCCTATCTTAACAAATGCCAGATTTCCCTTTGTTTGTAACGTATAAACTCAAAAACTACTTGACTGATTTCAAAGATTCTTACACTGTTTGAAAGCTACATTTATCCTAAATAACATAAGTTTCATTTAATTTTAAATAAAAATGTTTAGTTCTTATAAAAATTTTGTTATTTTTGTAACGGAATTCAACGTCGAAATACCCGTAGTAATAACAGTCTCCGACTTTGATTTTATAATTGAATAGCTTTATAAAGTTTCCAAAGGCTCTTGTATGATGTAACAAGCGGTAAGAGTTCTCAATAGCGTAAGATCCGTCGTAATGGAGTGACCCCACAGCTCGAGGGCTCCTAACGAACGCTGCGTCGCGTAATACCGGGAAATGGAAGCCGAATAACCTCAGCCTTGTACAACATTTGTTTTACCAAATTATTAAGAATTTTCATAGTTATTTTCTTTAGAAATTTGTATTAGGGTTTTCTAATTATTAGTAAAATTAAGCTTGTTTAAAATGTAATAGATAATAATGACAAAAGTCTGTTTAAAAGCCCGCGCACACCTTTGACCAAACTATTGCACAACTGTTTAGTCTCGCTTTGATTCCTATAATCTTATATGGAATTTCGCACACTACTCAGTTTTTAGTTGTGCAACTAAAGAATCGAATTGGCTGCGAAATAATCGACTATTGCACAAAAATTGTGCAATAGTTTGTAAAGAAGTCTGTAAACGCTAATTTTAAATATTTCTTTTGTTTTCATTTCATTAGTTACGTTTCTCATTATTTTGTGTTTAATTACTTTATTTTTGATTCAGAATTGTAGTGTTGACAAAGATTAAACATTATTTTATTTATTTTTTATTTTAAACATTTTTTAACTACTAAAATCTGATTAAAACAACGAAAACCAGTCAATGTACTTAATTTTCAATAGCTAGGGTATTTTTTTACTTTTTAAAAAAACTAATTTCTTCCTGAAAATAATAATTTATCCTACAAAAAAAACACCGCTTATCCAACAATCGGCCGTTTGTTAAACGACACTGAAAATATTACAGGAGAAACGTCTCGTGTAAACTGATTTCGCATACATTTGTGACCCAAATTACAAGCGTAGAGGTTATCATGTTTTTTAATATTTCACATTTATTTTATCTTACTTCTATCTATTACAACTAAACATAAAAAATAATTTATCTGTTATCTATATCTATACTAATATTATAAAGAGAAAAGATTTGTTTTTTTGGATTTTTGTGTGTACTGAAATCAGTCAAAAAAATAATAAAATTCTTTTACTATTAAAAACGTACGGTATCGGTAAGTAACATAGGCGAATTCACGAAAAACAGCTAGTCCACAATATTTAGAATAGTTCAGAACATCTATTTAAAGATTTTTTTTTCATATTGTTTTAACACTATTTCCGCTCTAATCTTGTAACTTGTAGCGGTCACGTCTCCTAAAGTTATTATAACTTTTTGTCGCAGTAATGCAGAGCGAGCGCGCCCGGGCGGCTGGATATAACTCGTTTAGTGCGGAATGGCTGACTCCGGGACATTGGGCACCGGCTTTGATTAATGTGTGGCCATACCTTGCAAACTTTATCTTATAACTTCATAAAGATGCTTTGAAGTTGATTTATTTTTTATGGATCTGGTTATCTGTATATTCAGTAATAACATTTTTAAATTTTCAACAGAAAAAAAACTTTTATAGGGGATCTTGGACATCTATGGATATCATACACCTGTTTCCGTATACAGCAAGATAATTGACAGTTAACTTTTGCTGTATTTCGGCAATCAACGCTAAAACTATGTAGGAAATAGGAATATGCCCTTGAAGGAAACGTTTCACTTGGTGGTAGTTGGGTTGGGACGTAACTAAAATGTCTTAATTTCAAAATTAATGTTATTGATTGATATTAGATGACATTAATTTATATAGGCTTACCTAAGCAAAATAAATTTATGTAAATGGTTAATTAATATAGTGCGGCCGGCAGTCAGCAGCGTGCAAATATAAAGAAGTATCCAATCAAATAAACGAATATTTGATTTTATTGCGATATGCCAGCGCCACACCGCGCCATTCGCGACATTTTGAAGATTAATATTTTATCTGTGCCCATGTCACCGTTCCACTTGACAGAGTTCAGTTGTTGACCCAGTTTTAACTGGACCAGAGCAAATTTGTGCCTAGACTTTCCAACCGGCATTGAATATTATTTAAAATAAATATTTAATAGAAAAATAACAAGCCTCGTTGATTTTTATTCCTAATTTTTCCTATACTTATATTTATCCAACAATTTTCGAATGACAGATTCAAACCTTCATAAAAAAAAACTTCTTATTGCCATTTAAAAATATACACAGTACAAAAAAAAACATATATGAAAGATTATAATAGATGGCAAAAGAGGGAGGCTCAGCTTAACCGATACTAGTTGGAATCTAGTGCCGAGCTGGTTTTCAGCCACTTCGATTACATTCGATTATTTCGCAGTCTTTAAATTATGGAGGACGGAAAAGTACAAATTATGACAAAATGTGATACATTTTCCTAACATAATAAACAAATTCTCTGTCATTAATCTAATCCCACGATATCAAGCTGGTAATAAACGACGTGCTCCGTCGAATATTCGATGAGTTCAAGATGGCCGCCGGCATAAATTGTCATCAATAACATGGCAGTGTGGCGCTGCCGTTGACATCTGGCTGACTGATGGCAGGAAAAAGTTAGCAATATGGTTTATAGCAGATTTGCTACAAGATTAATATTATTAAGACATGAATATGTAAATACAATAAGAAATAAGAGTATAATAATGCTAGTTATTATTTTGGACATAAAACTCTTGGATTATTTTATACGGATGTAAGTTTTATATTTAACTAGCTTTTGCCTGCGACTCCGTCCGCGTGGAATTAAAAAAAAAACAAAAGTGAGTACCCTATGTGTTCTTCCCGAATATCCTCTACAATCTTTACCAAATTTTTTAGAAATCTGTTGAGCCGTTTGGGCTACAAACTCTAACAAACATCCATCTAAACTTTCGCATTATTAGTAAGATAAGAAGTAAGATAGCAAGTGTCGTAATTTTAGCGGATTACATTTGGACTGTCGAATAGCCAACTATAACTTTTCGTCATTTTGATTGATATCTCAGAGATCAAGCCGTGTCTCTCGGAGACACCTGTCTCTCTGACTGATTGCTCTCACTTAGCAATAATAAAATCGACATCTTCCGAATGATATATATTCCTCAAAAATATAAATCGAATTTATAAGACATCATATGATTTTTTATAAGTAGATGAATAATTCTTTGATCTGATTCTGATTTAATCGAACAAATTAAAAAAATAGGTAATTCATAACCTTTTACTTGATCGAACAAAAATATTGCGAGATTTTTATTACTTTCTTTTCACTTTTCTATAGGTTTCAAGTGAAGTTTGTAAAAAGGATTCTGAAACTCTATTGTATAACTTAAAAGGTATAAAATCTTTTCAGTTTTTATAACCAAGAAATTCTTAGAATTTAACAAGCATTTAACCTTCACACGAATTATAACGTTTTATGGAAAATGAAAATCAAAGTTTTTTTTTTATAATAAAAGGTGGCAGACGACCAAGCGGCCACTTAAATCCACCGAAATGGAAAGCGACCGCAGCCCATAAACATCCTCAATTGCAGATGCGTTGCCTACCCTTCATTGACGAAGGAGGAGACGCACATAAGAGAACATTTCCCCTTCATATGCATCTACTCTACCGTTAATTCCTCTTTTCCTTTCCATCCTTTCCTCTTAAGAAAAGAGTGGAAGGGAAAAGGGACTAAAATTAGGCCTCCAGCACCACACTCATCAGACGAAACGCGGAATTAACTTCCACTTCACACCTGTTTTCTGTGTGGTCGTGATATTTCACCGGGCGAACCGGCCCATTCGTGCAAAGATGTTAAAGCGGGCTCTACCACTGTTAAAAGTAAAAATATTTAGGTTTCTGAATACTCTGTTGCTAACTACTACTAAAGAAAATAGTAGGAAAAAAACATTTTGTCAGTAGGAAAAATACTTTTAATGTATAACTTGAACATACCTTAAACCAGGCCATTGTAGAATCATCATAAAGCACCACCCATTCCTCCGACCACGTATTCCATAGATATTTTCCTAAAAAAAAAAGAATTAAAAATAAATCTTAAATTTACAACTGTACCGTAATGTAATAAAATAATCAATATCAATTCAGATACTGTAACTAAGTGATGAAAAGATCCAATCAAATACCGGCGATTAGATCTGTGCGGATATTATCGGGACATCAATCCGCCGAGCTGTCTGTCACACACCGCAGTCTAACAACGAGCACTACGGTAATTATAATGCTAGCTACACACGTGCGCAGAGTAGTGACAGTGCAGTTCTGCAGTACGTCGATGATTAAATTAAACAGATTTGTATACTGCTCTGGACTATTCTACCCTAGTGTGAATTATGGAGCCAGGTACGATGTGCGGCTTTCATCAACAATAAATAACCTTTCAAATACTATGTTGTGCTATAGGTTACGTATATTCCTTATTGTTTTGCATACAAATTTATTATGTGATTTTAAAATTGTATTATTTAGGGTCTGCCCCACCACTGGTCGATAGGGGCTCAGTAGCTTAAAAATGACCTCACTGCTATAAAAGGGAATAAAATTCGAATTTCCATCACATATTTACACGTTCGATTGCTATCAGACAATTTCTAATTTGGTGAGACCGGCCCTTAGTCGGGAAATAAACTGAAATGTGATTATAAGAGAGTAGTAATTGGGTTCTTAACCTTACATCTAGCAAAAATGTCTAGAAAGGAATCAATATTACCTAATAGGTTATCGTGTGTTTTCATAAAACAACCTACATACACCTAGCGTACAAAAAACATTCCGCGGTAGTCGTTAACATAAGTGTTTGAAAGCTTCCATTCGATTCGAGTGCAATTAACTTAGTCGCGTTACACTACGATATCGATACGATATCGGTATCGATTCGGTTTTACTCGATTCAACGACTCGCTTTACTGCTTGAATCTCGGAGTCGTAACTCGCGAGCGCGCTTTGATAACTTTAGTACGTATTTTATTAGGGCTGTTACACACACGCGGTGGCTCGCTCGTTTCATTACATCGTGAGTAGACGTAATTATGCTGTGTGAAGGGTGCCGTAAAATGGATACGAACGTTTTCCATTGTGTATTAGTAGAACAGTGTGTTATTGCATTTTGCACTTTAAAAGGTCTATGCATAAGACGTAATATTTAATTAAAAGCTTAGAAATTGTTACTTACGTTTGTACCGTAGCATGTAGCCTCCCTTGACTTGTGTGCCGCCGTGCTCTGAAACAAATAAGGTTGTCATTCAATGGAATAGAAGGAAAAAGATATGATTTTTGTTTGCTTATGCCTTCATTTGGTGTCATTTTCAACGTAGATTTACATTTTTTTTACAGGAAAAAATAATACCCACACCACTCTCTGAGCACGTTCTTTCTTGACTGTCTTACTAATATTATAAATGCGAAAGTTTAGATGGATGTATGTTTGTTAGAGTTTGCCGTCTAAACTGCTGAACGGATCTCAGTAAAATATGGACAAATATGAAGAGCATAGTCTGGAAGAACACAAAGGCTACATACTTTTGTTTTTAATTAATTCCACGCCAAAGAAGTAGCGAGCAAAAAACTAAAAACATAACAAATGACAGTTAACAATCCCTTGGTTAATTGTGAACTGTTTAGTTCCATTTATAATTCGATAATAGATGCAATTGTTAATTCCAAGTCTTTCGAGAAATCGAATATATTTCATTTTAACTTAGCTATATATTTACGTGTTGAATAAAACTAAAATGCTTTTCAATAAATTTTCTAGAGAACAAAAATTTTCATCCTTCGAATACAAAAGCAAGAAAGAGGTCTTGTATCGTATAATTCAGCAATAAGAATGGTTAGTTGATGTTCAGAGGGAATGTTAACAAGGGCCTCTCATCGGCGGTAAACAGGGAGAATTGGCGCCAAGGCAGTCCGACGCGGCGCGTGCCTGGAATACACGGAGAATCACACGAGAAACGCAACAGTGAATGAAAACGTATCAAACAAGATTTTGTAGCGACTTTATTTTTACCTGGCAATCATTTTACAAGAGACATCTTATTTTTTACTGTAAATAAGTAATTCAAGTATCATAATTGATGCATTTTGTTCTTTTTTCTGTCACTTAGTGTCGCTTAATGCCCACTGAAACTTACTGTTTTAGGCATAGATAGAGTTTACTAAGTTCAATCAAGTTCTTGATAAACACTAGGGATTATAAGACTGTTTGTGTATGTATCCATTAGGTAAGTTACGTAAAGGGTTACATAATATTTACATAATGTGCCCTGCCCGTGGAAGCCGAGCTCAGCCGCCGGCTGCTACGAAAAGCGTTGAGCGCTAATTCATCAATGTTACGACACATTGTTTTGTTTTATATAACACTAATCATGTTCCAGTCTTCCTGTGTACCTATACAATAAACAACACAACTAAGAAAGAAACAACAATAAACGTTGCAAGAAAGAAAACCAACATTCCGATTCCCGACTCATTTAAAGTATAAAATATTGTAAATTCTCCACTACAACCAAAGACTATTAAAAAGATATAGACGCGACATAGTAAAGAAACATTTTTCACCGGTACTTTCTCTGAAAGGTGCTATATTTGCGTTGCTAAGATTATGTGAAATATATTTAAGAAGTCTGAACTATGCCAACTCTATATCTTTTTAGAATCTCTTTGACGAAAACAAAGGAAGTGTTTTTTTCTCGATTGTCAGTTCTTGATCTAATTGTCATGATCTTACGATGTATTTATTGCGTTTACGTTGTTGTATCTCAAAACATTCAGATAAACAAGAAACTAAGCATAATATTGTTAGAAATTGTAAGTTGCCAAATTCGAGATAGAATACCGAGAAACGGGAATCCCCGACAACGACCGCGTTCAAGGTCATAATTCAGTACTGTTTATATATTTATCAATACTTATTGCTTTTTTAAATATTAAATTAACTGACCTACTTACCTAAGGAACTGAGTGTAGATGTGTCAGAAAATGTGTAATTGTAGCATGAGTTATATTTTAAGGGCAATAAAAGAGACAGCTGCTTCGTAAAAATTGTAAAAAAAGTTAAATGTAATATCCAAATCTATAGTATTTATGGTTTACGTGACAAAAAACTCGAAGAATCACCCTCATGTTACGATATGAAACAAAGCCAAGAATGGCGCAGCGTAGAATGTCTTCTCGTAAGTTATTAATTGTCCTCCAGAGCCCCGGGGTATACTCTTTGTAATACTTCATCACTATTGTTGTACTTCCGAACCACACGACTTTTCATACAATTGAACTATTGTTTCTAAATAAAACTAGATGTCGCTAGTGACGATTCATTTGTCATTATTTAACGGAGACTAAAAATAATATAGCGATAAGATTTTTTATTAGTTTGTATTCAATTCACGGTGTGAATATAACTACAAAATCCGATTAAATTACTGTAGATCAAATTGATGTTTATTTTATCCATAATAATTTAACTTGATATATTTTACTCAATAAAATACGTCTGGAACGTTCAAAGTTTGTAATATAATTCGATATCGCACAATCTTGGTTCCGGGAAACTCTCAAAGCGCGAGCCGCACTCGACTGCGAGCGGCGTTTATCAACAAATTGATACACGTAAAACCCTCGTTTTCTTTTATTGAACATACTCGTAACTTTACTTCGGAAACGGTTTAGAAGAGTACTTGTTTTGAAATATAGTACCGGTTATTTTTAGTATAAAAACATCTGTAGTCGTCTTACTAATATACAAATGCGAAAGTTTAAATGGATGGATGTTAGAGTTTGCCGCGTAAACGACTGTACGGGTCTATACAAAATTTTGCATAGATGTAGAAAATATTCTGAAAGAACACTCACTTTTGTTATTTTTTTAATTCCCCGCGGACGGAGTTGCGGGATACGATTAGTTTTGAAGAAAAAAAATAGAAATTGCCTTTGATTAAAATCTTACTATCTATTGTTAAACAGACACTTCTTGTTACAAATTATTAGAAAAAACAAAATTATAGATTAACAAATATAGTAGTTATTTAGTAAATAACGATAGAAAAGCACTCATATTTGTAGTTAAAAAACAATAACAGCCCTGCACTTTGCAGACTCAGTTCGCTCCAGGTTATGTCAACAAGCCATTAGCATAAAACCAATAACAGGCTTTTAACAAAAGTGCACAACTTCCGATGGAATTTTATCTTATTAATACGCTATTATTATTTTACAACTACTATTATTATTTTATTAAAAGTATTTACCGAATTGACATTTTATTCTGAGAGTGAAAATGGAATAGAAAACTATAGTGTGTCTAAATAAGTTAGATTAGTTTGACAATCACTTCAAATTTAGTAGGGATGGTTGTGTAAAATCAGTCATGAATCTTATCGATTTTCGATTTTTATTCGCGCGCATTCCTGGCGGGAACGTTGAAAGTGTTAAATTAATATCGCTAGTAACAATTATATTAATTGTTTAAAACTAACTAATATAAAAAATGCGATAGTTTGATAAAATCGAAAATCATTATCTTCTCCCTTGCCTTATCCTACTCCCGTAGTTTCGGCGCACCGTGTTTTCGTCCTCCAAAGCACTCTATCATCCGTCATCTCAGTCATCACTCCCTTCTTGATCATTTCACCTTTCACGCAATCCATCCATCTCTTTCTATGTCTACCTCTACCGGTGTACCCCTCCACATTCATAACTAACGTCCGTCTTGTTACATGCGATTCATCCCTTCTCATAACATGCCCATACCACTCTAACCTTTTACTCCTTATTTTCTCAACCACTGGGGCTATTCTCAAACTTCCTCTAATATACTCATTTCGTATCTTATCCAATCCTGCTACCCCACACATTCATCTTAACATTTGCATTTCCGCCACATGTATTTTCCTTTCAACCGTCTCGTTTAGTGCCCAACATTCAGATCCATACATCATGACAGGTCTTACGACGGTTTTGTAAGTTTTCCCCGTAAAACAAATATTTTTTATTATTCAAGAAATCAAGGTAGGTTAAGTTTTTTACAACTTTCCAATTATAATATAATTTCCTTGAATACATATTATTTACCATAGTTCCTACATTTGAAAGGAGACCTTGAATTCTTTAGATATAAAAGCGAAGGGCAGGTGTGACCGCCGCGGGCACGATATTGCTTTTATGCTAATAAGCTGACTAAAGATGAGGTGGATTCGATATTCTGCAGGGCTGGCACTAAAATGTTTTAATCACAAACATTAACTGACATTATCTTATCTTATCCCTTAAGGAGGGTCAGCACAGTATGTGCTGCTCTTCCATACATATCAGCCGTCATATCTGAATCCACTCCTTTCTTAAGTATATCCTCTTTCACACAATCTATCCATACTTTCTTCGGTCTTCCTCTACCTTTGTAGCCATCCACATTCAATCTTAGCACTTTCTGGTTTATGTCCAAATCCTTTCGTCGCATAACATGTCCATACATATTTTCTACACAATGACTGTAAAAAACCCTAAGCATAATTACCTCCAAAGTTGGACAGCTATCTATTTTGAAATTAAAAAATCTTACTGTATTCCTTTTTTGCAATGAGATAACAGAAACATCATGATAATTCTACACTCAAACCACTAAAGTACAAAGTAATAAAAAGCAATTGCCAACCCTAATCCCATCTAGGGTTAACTATTTGAGATAAAATCAAATGGGAATTTCATTGGAGAATCGATTCTCTCCAAACGACACTGAAGAGCCCAGCCCTCGGACTTATGGAGTGGATTCAACATCCTTACGAGCGGATTTAGTTGTTGTAATATATTTCCACTAGCGAAATTCCATGTAAAAATATATGACTATGGCCCTTTTTCAAAGAGAACACAATATAATTTCGTACATGGGTTTCGCAAGTATAAATTGACAGAAAGTCATTGTGACTGCATGCTAAATTTGTCAAAAATCGGTACCCATAAAAATTATAAGAAAATAAGGGGCATTTTTTTATGATAAAGGGGGGCAAACGAACGGCGAGAACACCGAGGTGGTCAGCGACGCCCATGGACATCCGCTACACCAGAGGAACTACAGTTGCGTTGCCGGCCTTTGAGGAAATGATAGGCTCGCTTCTTGAAGGACCCTAAGTCGTATTGGTTTGGAAATACCGCCATTATTAAAGCATGTTACATGATTTTTTATTTCAAATTCAACCTTTTGCTAATAAACTGCGCGATTTAGAAATA